GAAATATCTGTTGACAATTTTAAAGATCTTAACATAATTCGTAACTTAATGATCTCTACCAATGACAAGGTTATTTTTTATTTTTCTAAGTTTATATACAAATGCTTCATTCTTAGGAATGAATCATAATAATTGATGTAATGTATTAATGATTACTTTTGATAAATTTATCTTTGATTATTATTACCATTCAATTAATATTTTAGTATATTTGTAATACTCATACTTATTTTTTTAATATGTTACTTTACATATAGATATATATAGATATATAGATATTTTTCTTGTTACAATGTGTTTGTAAAATATAACAAACAAAAAACAATCCCTGTTAATGTTCAATGCTTTAGCAATACCTGTAAATCGTAGGTCATGCCAATAAAGCTATTTCAAACCTCTCCTCTCCTCTCCTCTCCTCTCCTCTCCTCTCCTCTTCTTATAGTTTTCATTGCCACAAGAGTTAGTTTCCAATTCGTCAGACCGTCCATATTTCTCAAGCTCTCGATAAGATTCAAGAGATTTGCGGTCTGATGGCCATACCACCGAATTCTTACTGACTGTCGAACTTGAAGAGGTGAGGTAAGTCGGTCGAGCATCGCGTGACGGCGATATTTCCGGGAACTTGATCTTAGTTTAAGTCGGTACGTTCTAGAATTTCAAATTGCCACAGTTCTAGGAAAAGCAGAAAGTTTCTAGGAAAAGCAGAAAGTTTCTAGGAAAAGCAGAAAATTTCTAGGAAAAGCAGAAAGTTTCTAGGAATCACTTGAATTCTCTGAAAAAGAGAAAACTCATCGTGACATGTGATGCATGGTTTCCGAGAACTCGCCTGACGTTACTTTCTTGGAATATTCTTAGATGTTCTTGGAACAAGGTGCAGTAACTTCCTGTTATTCATATTCTCGGAAATGCATGTCCTTTCGATTCTCTTTACGAAAACTTCAAATAAAACCTTAAAGCCAATTTTCCCTCTTCTTTACCATGTCCAATCCAAGTGAGTGGACCTTTAAACTATTGATCTACGAGTCGGAGTACCGAGAGATACAAGCATGGACTTTAAAGCATCAAGACCGAGAGACTGGAGGTGATTTGTTTGGTTTGTGGGCAGACGATTGCACTGCTGTGGTGCAACTCGTACTTGGACCCGGAGAACATTGTAGAAGAACGTCGACTTCTTTCTACCAAGATCTAGACTACCTCAAACGAATGGGCGATGTCTTGACTTCAGAAGAAGGACTGTGTCACATTGGAGAATGGCACTCTCATCACACACTCAGCCTAATGGAGACTAGTGAAGGAGATGAGAGAACAATTTGGTCCAATATGGATAGATATGGACTTTCTCGTTTTTGTCTGTTCATAACCAACATACTCACTAAATGGAGATGGCAGTCTCTGTCCTCAGTGCCAGATAAGACCACTGTGAATGGGTTCCTGTTTGAAGTCGATCGACGGCACCAACGTCGTCTCCCTGTACTGCATGCCGAATTCATTCTCCTCCAAGAAGAAAGTCCATTCCGTTTAAAATATATTGGTGCAATTCGTGATGGAGCTGAGAGTTTAAATACCGTACAAGACCATCTACGTGTTGTAAAAAAGTGCCAGCAATTGGAATTAGGTATGTAGGAATAATTGTTCCATGTCCAAACTAATCCACCACGTCCAAATTTAACAGGAAATGAAGAGTAAGGGGAGAGGGGAGGGGTAGGGGGATAATAGAGTAAGACAAAATATGCTTGGCTAGTCATATCACAGTCTTCTCTTTATTTCTCCTCGATCTCTCGTCTCGCCTCGTTCTTAGTGAAAGTCCATTGCTGTGATCTTATTACGCGTCTTATTTTTTTTAGAAATTTATTCGTTCTATTTAAAATTGTTTGTTCTCATGTTTATTTATTTGTTTTGTTTGTTTGTTTGTTTGTTTGTTTGTTTGTTTGTTTGTTTGTGAGTTTTTATTTTTAATTGTTGTTTCCTTATTGTTTTTAATTGATGTTTCCTTATTGTTTTTATTGGTTTGTGTATTCTGCTTGTTTACAAGTTTGCATGTTTTACTCGGTAACAAACAATATATTTATAACTAGAACTGAACAAAGTTCTTCAGGCTAAGCAAGAACTTGAGACATCGCTAACAGCAGAACTACAAGAGACAAACAAAGAACTTCGAATCATCAAGCAGCAGTTTGATGGACTCGAGAACACTTTAGCTGCAGAAAGACAAGTAAGAGAAGAAACAGAGAGACGACTTCACAGCAACGAGCAGAGATCAAGTGAACTGCAGACATCTTTAGCTGCACAAACACAAGCAAGAGAAGAAACAGCGAGAAGACTTCACGTCAGCGAGCAAAGATCACATGAACTTGAAACTATACTGGCCACTGTCCAACAAGAACTTGAAGAGTCACGCAGGTCAAATGAGCCATCATGTGACTGGATTCTAGATAGGAATGAAATAAGTCTATCGGATACAGAAATTGGAGTAGGAGCATGGGGGAGGGTGGTTGAAGGAACATTTGGTGGATCTGAAGTCGCAGTCAAGGAAATTCACCAGGTTATCATGTCGCCTCACAACAGAAGACTTTTTGAGCGAGAGATGAACATAGCCTCTAAATGTCGTCATCCTTGTCTTCTTCAGTTCATTGGTGCAACCAACGATGATCAAAGTCCTCTCTTCGTGACTGAACTACTGGAGACTAATCTGAGAGCAGTGTTACATGAACGGCCACTTGAACCTTTTGAGTTAACGACTATTGCACTGGATGTTGCCAAAGGGCTAAACTATTTACACCTCAAACGTCCAGATCCTATTGTTCATCGAGACATCAGCAGTGCCAATGTGTTGCTATGGAAAAAAGGTGCCAATTGGCGAGCAAAAGTGTCAGATTACGGCACTGCCAATTTCCTGCAAACGACGATGACGGCTTGTCCTGGTGCTGTAATCTACTCTGCACCTGAGGCACATACATCCAAGCAATCACCAAAGGTTTGTGTAATGATTTACAGTATCATCATCCTAGGTTTTGTGGGGATTACTAGTTTTGATTTGTACGAGCACTGCGAGAAGCGAGAAAACTATGGATGCATGCACCTACCAATGTTAAACCCCAGGGTGTGGGTGGGGGCGACCCAAGGGAATGAAATTTTACAATTTTAGAAATAACAAAGTCAATATAGATTCTTATATTCAAGTCAGCTGGAGTTCTTAAGACATCAATCCGAAAAAACCTCCCCCCCCCCCCCGTCCTTCCCCAATGGGGTGCCATGTTTCCCTCCTTTTCTGGGGGGGAGGGGGAGAGATTTTAGGATTGATTTTGTTAAAACCTGGACCAAAATAGCAGTTTCATATCAATAGGATGTTTGTATGATGGCGTCAGTTAACTAGTCCCACTACCAAGCCGGATGGTTCGCGAATTTTCTTATTAAAATTTGTATTTTCTCATGAGAAAAGTAAGACAATAAGGGATTCTGGTACTGGGAGTCAAATGACGCAATCATACAAAGTCCTTTTCCTCCGGACTGCCTCCTCCAGACACACGTACACACATCCTGGGGCTTCGTTAACCAAAGCTATAAACAGGTGCATGCATCAAGGAAACACAAACAACAATTCTTACTAATTTGCAACTCATCGAATTTACGTTCACATTGTGGTGGATGGGGGTAAGATGTATGATCACGAATCTACGAGCCTTCGATCATGCTTTTTTTATTGTTTGTGTGACTATAGAATTATAAATCATTAATTTAGCTGCATCGATCTATTTGATCGTTCAAAACCAATCCAACGAACCAAACATCTAATCAATTAACTGACCGATCGAACAGCCAGCCACTGAGCTAGACAATCAATCAGCCACTGAACACATCCAACTGTCCAAAAGACTAATGAACAACAATCGAATGAACTAGTCAATCAATCAATCAGTCCAATCAGGTGACCATTGAATATTTTATAGGGGTTTGGGATCCGATGATAAAAAATACTCTATTTTAAACTTTTTCAATGGGATCTTTTCCTCTACAGGTTGATGTGTACAGCTTTGGAGTTCTGTTATGCGAAATGAACATTCGGGAATTTCCCGATGTAAATAAGAGAAACCAGCAAATAGCAAGGGTGACCAATACTTTTCACAAAAGACTCATTAGAAGATGTTTGCTGCAGGACTCTAAGAAGCGCCCTTCCATGGCAGAAATCATTGAGGAAATAAAACCCTTGGCACAAAGACAATCAAGAGAAGAAACAGAGAGATTTTACAGCAGCAAGCAGAGATCACATGAACTGGAGACATCTTTAGCTGCAGAAAGACATGCAAGAGAAGAAACAGAGAGAAGACTTCACAGCAGCGAGCACAGATCACATGAACTGGAGACATCTTTAGCTGCAGAAAGACAAGCAAAAGAAGAAACAGAGAGAAGACTTTACAGCAGCGAGCAAAGATCACGTGAACTAGAAACATCTTTAACTGAACAAACACAGGGAAGAAAGGAATTGAAGGCAGCTTTGGATGAAGAACAAAAGGCACACGAAGAAACGAGGAGAAACACTTTCGGTTATTGGAGTTTAACTCGTAATGAAATAGCTTTGTCCGATATGATAATTACAGAAGAAGAATGGGGGAATGTGATTGAAGGAAGCTTCTACGACTGTAAAGTTGCAGTAAAGGTAATTCACCCGAGTATTCTGCCACGTGCACGTACGCATCGTGATCGAAGTTTCTTTGAGCGGGAGATCAAAACGGCAATTGAATGTCGCCATCCTTGCCTTCTTCAGTTCATTGGTGCAACGTTCGATGATCAAATTGGTCCTCTCTTTGTGACTGAACTACCGGACACTAATCTAAGGACACTTTTACAGGAACACCCATTGGAGCCTTCTAACGTCACCACTATTGCACTTGATGTTGCCAAAGGAATAAACTATTTACACCAGAAACGTCCAGATCCTATTGTCCATGGAGACATCAGGAGTGACAATGTGTTGCTATGGAAAAAAGGTGGTGCTGGTTGGCAAGCAAAAATATCAGATTTTTGTACTAACAATATCCTGCAACAATCCATTACGAATTTTCCTCTTGACAGCATCTATGTTGCACCTGAAGCACAGACCTTCAAGTCTGTCAAGGTATGTATACGAAGTTAGTGTCTTTGTCTGGTTGAATTCGCAAAACCTATGGCATGCATGACCAAGGATACAAGCCGAACCAAGAGTGTTTGATCGATTATTTCAGCTTCCAGATAAATGTCATTTTTTAAATTTACGCCGTGAATTCTCTCTTTGCGTTTTTTTAAAGTATTAAACCAACCTCCTATATACCATAAATGGAGATTTTAATAGTTTTAAATTTTAATAGTTAAAACTATTTAATTTACTTGCTTGCCTTCTTGTCTGCCTGCTTGGCTACCCACCTACCTATCTGCAGCTACCTACCTATCTGCAGCTACCTACCTATCTGCAGCTACCTACCTATACCTACCTATCTATGCCTACCTACCTACCT